TGCACGCCCCCTACTGGGAATCAAGCCCACAAGCAGGGCCTGCGCCCTGACCGGGAATCAGACGACCTCCTGGTGCACCGGATGCTGCTCAACCAACGGAGCGGCACAGGCCGCGCTAGGTAAAAATTTTAAAAGCTTACAGATCTCTGGAGCACTGGGACAATCTGTGAAAGAAAAGATAAAAGCTCTCACAATTTTCTTCACATTCAACTTTAATGTACTTAAAAATGGGAACTCAATGGCCATTTCCGTACATTCAGCAGGCTCGTTGACTGTCGCTTCATTCTTCAGCTACCATGAACTTTCTCCAATTAAAAAGAATAGCTTAGTGCTCTTTTCCCACCCAATTATCCTCCCCCCATTCTCCCTGCTAAAGAGCAATACAGACAACAGGACATTAAAACTCGATATTTGAACACTTATTATTTGCAAAGCAATACTTAAAAAGTCAGTTGGCTAATGTAAGGTATCGGTCGGATCTCTCCTCTCTAGGAGCTGACATTTTACTTTGGGTGACATGCAAGATATAAAGAACTTGGAAGTCAGAGAGCAAGTTAGTTGTGTGAACCTTGGACAAGTGGATTAATGTTAGTAAGCCACTGTTTTCCCAGGTTGTGGGTTCAATCCCTATTGGGGTGCCTGCAGGAGGCAGCTCGTTGATGTTTCTCTCACATTGATGTTTCTCTTTCTCTCTCTCCCCACCCTTCCTCTTGCAAAAAAAAATCAATAAAAACATTTAAAAATAAGTAAATAGGCAGAATTTGAGTAAAGATTGCCCTCCCTAATGCGGGTGGGCTTCACCCAACAGTTGAAGGCCTTAACAGAAAAAGGAGATGAAGACTGAAGTTGGACTTGAACTGCATCTCTTCCTCAGGTCTCCAACCTACCAGCCACCGCTATAAATTTTGGACTTGTGTGAACCAATCTTTAAATCTCTCTCTCTACACACACATACACACACACACCCTATTTGTTCTGTTTCTTTTGAGAACATAGTGGTAGATACTACCACTTGTTCACAAATATTTCTAGTTTTTCTCTCCTCTGGGTCCATGAAAGGATTAACACTTTCCTGAAAATTTAAAAGTAAATCATGGCCATGTAACTTGCTTTGGCTAATAAAATGGAGTGAGCGACTGGTCCACTTCTAAGCAAAAGCATTTAAGAGCCAGGGCATCATTCTCTATGCTCTTCCCGAGGCACCGAGCCTTGAGTCATGCTGAGATGGTAGAAACATAAGGTGCTGCCTCCCTCAGCCTAGGCCCCAGGTAGAACACGAAAGTGAATTGTCTGTTGTTTCAAAAACTGAGATTTGGGGTTGTTTATGATGCCACATCCACTCAACATGCTGATTATAAGTTTTTAATTTTTTCATTATTGCAATGTCAGTGGGACTTCTATTGAATATAAACACTGAATAGTGATCTGAAATACTGTGTGAACACACGACAGAAGTTTCTCTAAAATGAGTTAATGTAAACTTTTCACAAACTGGTTCTTTAGTCTACATTATTGTTATAATATTTTACTAAACCCACCAGCACCAATTCCATTATAAAACTTGGAATAAATGCAGCCCATATGGATGTGAACATTTTGTAAACAAGACCTCGAAACTAGTCTATCCCAACTGCTTAAGTGTTTTATACTTTTATGAAGATCCTAGAATGTGTCCACCTTCTAGCTGCTATAACTCCCAAATAGCTAAGAAAAGAAAATCTTTCAATAAGACGGATGAATCCAAACAGAAAATCTGGCTTTTGCTAGATGGGGAAAAACAAGTATGAAGGTGGAAGCTGAACCACATAGGCCTGTGGGGAAACGAGATAAACAGATGGAGATAATCGTATTTCAAAATTATCTAGTCCTGAGGTTATCTGGAATCTTAAGATATGAACATATGGTTGAGATTATCAAATCTACCTAAAGTGTTCAGGTTTTAAAATGAATTCTAAAAATTTTGGCCCAATTAGAAAAAAAAGTATGGATAGCACCACTTTCTTCCATAAATACCCAAATCTACAAATTCAGTATGGAGAGAACAGGGCGGTACTTCAATGCCCCACGGGCCTAGCACAGTGCCCTGCCTACAGGTGTCATTCAGTTAATGCTAAATTGACTTCTGTTACCACTTTCTCAAATCCCTACTACTTGGCCACCTCCCCATCTCCCAGACAAGGGGAACAGGCTAACAGAGGAGCAGGGCAGGTATCCATCAGTGTCACCTCCGTTGTCCTGTCACTTGCACGTACCACTCTTGCCTGTCCACTTCTGCAGTCTCGCCCCCACCTTGGCAAACTGGACTCCAGCTGGTGAGTCAAAGCTGGCCAGTTCACATCGACACTCAGGGCTGCGCGGCTGTGTACTGGGCAACAGGCAGCAGCTACTGGGGTAAAAGTAGTTGCCAGATATTCAGCCCCCGGCTGGCTGAGTGGAGTCTAGCGCACAATGATCAGGTCAATCTTTAGTAAAGGTAGTGAGAGCCATGCTGTCGAGTACAGGGCCTCCAAAAACAAGGTCATCAGAGACAAAAACTGTGTCTTTCAGCAACAATTTCTCTTTGTGAAGAGAATGGTTAATGCAGTTGGGCTACAAAGAAGAGCCCTGGCCACAGAATGGGCTGGGATGTGCCCCTGAATAGAAGAGCTAGCCAATACTGAGGATCACTTGCTCTGAGGACAAAGGTCAGTCTCCTCCACACTCAGGGAACAGACTGGCCCTTCGGCCTGGAATGCTGTACCAAGGTCACTGGTGAGTCAGTGCAATTCTAAGACAAATCCCCCACCAACCCCCACCCCCGAGGTTGCTTCTCTTCTTACAGATTATTAGAGCCTCCAGGGTGGTAAACCATACACGGCAAGTCAGTGCTGCCGAGACTTCAGACGTTAAGGAAATCCCTTAGTCACTTGTTGCTATTTGTCACGTAATTAAGCACACTCACACTGCCCTGAATAAAAAAGCTTAAGCTGTAAACCATCCCATCCCGCAGTAACATTCCCCTGGATGCTGAGATGAGAACAGGAAAATCATACCACATGTCTGCCATCTGTATTTGTACTTGTCAACAGCTCTGTTTTGGGATAAACAGTTTTGAAGTTAGAATCAATTCGACTTGTCGGAAGATCAGCCAAGGAATAGCTCAGACGACCAGAACAGACATGAAGTCAAATAGTCTGAGAAATCAAGCACAATTTCTGTTTCTCACTCTACATTCTGTTTTGTCACAGCCCAAGAGAAAGAGCAAAGGAGCCAGGGCTTGGGGGCAGTGAAATGGAATATGTATTTACTCAAGTGAAAAATTCTTCAACTTAGAACAAATGTCTTTGCTATAATGTAACTGGAAATCATTCACTGACCTCGAGGAGACTGCAGTTAAGAAAAAAGTAATTTTAGCATTTACACTGTTTCACAGTTCTAGTGTGAAGGTATACACAGGGGACAGCTTGCGTCGGGTACAGTGCATAATACGGTCCTTTATTACCATAAAAACGGTAGCATGTCCCAAAGTCGATCTTGATTAAAAGTAGTTCCTTGGTTGAAAACACTACCCACCATAGAGCTATTAAAATAGAGAGACGGCAAGGGGAAAATGAAGACATATACCGAAAAGGCGGCCAGGGAAGAAGGCAGCACAAACCGGATGCTAGAGATTGGTAGGAGATAACAACGGAATTGCTTTTAGAAGCCGCTGGCGTAAGTGAATGAAGGGACACAGTAACCTGGCAGCCCCACAGATTCTAGAAAACAAATGGGAACATGTATGCTTCACTTGGAAGGACATCCATTTTCTCCCTAAAAGAAGTCATTTATAAAAGAGCAAATTGGTGATTTGTACTTACAGACTGGACCCTTTTCAAGCCCCTGTCAAGCGGTGATAAATTATTGAAGCATAGCGTAGTGTTTTATTTTTGGTATACACACAGTTAAACCTTGCGAAATGTTTCTGTTCACCTTTCCCGAGTTATTAATTAAAAAATAATTGTTCCCACTTACTATGTGATCTTTAAAACAAAACAAGACAAAGTGCCACACATACTTCCCCAGAGCCAGCACCGCCCCCTTCCCCTCCCTCCCTGTCCGGCCCCCACATCCTTCAACCAGGCAATTGTTTAGACTGCGGAGGGCGGGAGGAGGAAGACCAATTGTCTGGTGTTCATTCAACCACAGTGCCCAGATATATTTGTTGTCCCTAGAGACAGCATAAACTGTTCAGAGAATAAAGCGGGGTTGTGGAAATCTCATTAATAAATTGTGAACACCCTCTCAGCAGGAGTCACATCTCGCAGAGGGGCCGCCTTGTGCCAGCACTCCGCATGCTGGGTGCCAGGTGCCCCGCTCCCGGCCAAGGCCCCACTCCCGCACAGCTGCGACTGAGCAAGGCGTCCCGAATCCCCTCCCTGAGCAGGAGTGAGGAGAGATTCTGCCCCAATCAGTTCAGCAACTGAAACCCGACTACTTTACAAACTCTAAGCTGTGCTTTAATCTAAGTGACTGCCAGACGGGCTCCTCCCCTGCTGTGTTCACAAAATAAGACTGACACTGACACCAATGCTCCCGAAAGAGGGCAAGAAAACCTAGCAGGTCTAACTGCACATGAGGAGATTCGAGATGACAGTGGGCAGACTTGCCTTAAATGGAAGGTTTTCACCTGGCATATTGGGAACCTTTCAAACTTCTCCCCCAAATCAATTCAGATTCCTACTCCTTCTGTGGAAGTGCCACTCTCAGATCCCCGATTCTATTTTCTATCAGGTGATTGCATCAGAGGCTGAACTTCTGACCCCATAGACCCTTTTAAGCCTCAGGCTGAAACTGGATGCTTTTGTAGAACATTTTCACTCAAGTATTTTGTATGGGAAACAGAAGGGGATGGATAAAGGAGAACATCTCTACAATGTCTGAATTATCATCATGTGCATCATTTTAGTCAGCTGAGTAGGTAAAGCAATCAAACCAAATGACATTGCTGGAAACTTAAAAGTCGTGCAGGGAGAACAAAGGTCTTCTTTGTTTTTCTTTATTTTTTGCATTCTGCACACTGACACAGAGGTAAAAGGAAATGACTGAAATTTAAATATGAAAGAATTCTTTACAATTAAATCCACAACTTTATACATTTATCTTACTCATATGTCAGTGAAAAATCACCAACTATTATGAAATACGACAAATTATATCAAAAAACCTGAAAAGATCTCATAAAAAAATATATCCAAGTCCGAAGGTTACTGCGCGCTTGATGCCGTCACATCCTTCTCTTCTGTGTGCTTATGTACAACACTGAAAAGAAGAAAGAAAGAGACTGAAGAACTGCTCTTAACTGTGACAACAGCAAGTTTTAAAAGCAAACAGATTTTGGCCTGATACCTCTGCAAATCTGAAAGGAATTTTCATACCCCACAATAAACTCTGGGACGACGCTAAGACTAATTTTACGAAACTAGACCCGGGCTTGATGTCTTAGAGAGCCGTGCTCTAGTCTTAGCTATACGCTAACTTCTGTGGCCAGGAGGGTAAAACAAAAGTATGTGAAAATCACTAGATACAAAACTGTTCTATAATTACAGGTATACTAATTATGCTTCTCATAAAGTAAACCAATAAAACTTACCAGGGTACATTTCAGATTACAAATAAAGAACATATTTTCATCCATCTCCCCAACAGAAACTCTAAATTTGCTGTTTAATTTTGTAATTGAATCAGGATAAACAAGAGCTGAGGAATGTGTTACTTAAATAAAATAAAAACACAAAGTCCTTATTCTGAGTTCCCTGGTAAACTATCAACCTTTGGTATTGCCCAAAGCTCTGCTTTGCTAGCCCTCCTGTGACCACCAAACTGAGCTCTTCAGGAGGGATGGTCCCTAAGAATAAGACAAAAACACGATGCCTGGGTCACTCCAGTCAAGCTCTCACCAGAGGTGTCATCCCCTCCCACCCCCTGGCCTACTCAGATTCTCACACATTTGTTCAAAAGGATCATTCAGAGACATCTTGACCAACAATCGCAGCACAGATTAATCAAGTATGTCAAGATCCTCTTTAAGAGTCAAGGATATGAATCTGGGAGTCTAAAAATAACTACCCCTGATTATTGTATCATGGAAAAGATATATGAGTGGAAGCATCAGTATGACAGTAAAAACATCCCTGGGAAATTAGACATGGTCTAGATATCCTATGCATGTGACAGGATCCACCCTATCACTACTGACAGAACCTGCAACTGACCAGTGCTATCAGCTGTCTTGAGGTGGAGAAAAATCGTAACATTTCTTAGTAAATGTAAGAAGTCAAATAAGAACAATATGAAAAATGGGAGGAAAAATTCTACATGTTAGAAGAACTAAAAAGCGTATCTAATAAGATATGGTATGGAAATTTGGCACTGTAAGAACAGGAGATAGAATACCTACAACAGTCAGGACATTGAGTTCCCACAGAGACCCACCTGTTACGGGGGCTGAGGAAGTTTCCAGAACTAAAGGATGCAAGCGATAAAAATCCAAACTCAGGAGTCCCAGAGCTCCACCCAGGGATGGGACCAAACAGTGGGAGGGGTCAAGGGGTAATTCCCACAACTTTGATATCCTCCCCTTCCCCCTGAAAATTTCACATATGACTTTAGTGATAGTGTTTTTAAATGAGGTACTAAAAGTAACCATAATAATCACAGCAATATATTAGCTGAATAACTTTAGAACCACATTTCCTATTTTGGCATTTTTGTCAAACTAAAGTATACAATCTCCACAGAGAGCATTTGAATGACTAACAGAAAAGGGTCAACAGGACAAGCTAAGTGCCAAATGATGCAAGTGAAAGATAGCAGGGAAACACTGGCCACTCTTACAGCTCCAGCTCCCAGTGTAGCAGTGCTGGAGGAATATGATAAACTGCATTCACCAGAACAGTTCTGGGCCACAGTATACCAATGCCCCTCAGTTCCTCCTCATAAAGGGAGGGGAGAATTTCTAGCTCCCAAATTCCATGAAGCTACTAAAAAAAACCCTAAAAAAAACACACAACCTGGTCATCACACTGAAGATCTGAGCTATAATAGAGTTTAAAGGTAAACAAAGCAAAACTAAAACTGAACTTTTAAGTTATCTAGAAAACCTGCTGGTGATCCCTACTATAAACATAAAGGCCCATTTCACTGTACAACCTCAGATGGCAAGAACGTTACCATTGTTTCCCCGGATAAACGCGTCCCCATACTTGTTCTTCAGCTGTCCGTTTACATACTCCTCCGTCTGCTCCAAGGCGATATTCATGTAGCCATCCAGGCAAGCTAGGACCCCTGGGGACAGAGTGAGCCAGAGAAGAGACACAAAGCAAGTAAGAGCTGAAAGTTAGAGCTGACCACCTCTTTAGTCATTAGGTCTTACATGCTTAATACAAAAACTTACACTTGTAAACTCAATAGACAGAAGCACAGAAAAATGTCTTTACGTCCACCTGAATAAAGCCTATGATACAGCATGAAAGTAGGAAAAACAAGTGACTCACTTTTTCATGGTATGTGTGATAACAGTAACTTTTAAAGCCTACACACAAATAACATAATAAGAGTATGCCAAATAAAACCCCATTCTTTGAAAACTAAGGGAGTAGGCAGTTATGCAGGAGCAAAGCCCCATTAGCCAAGACTCCTCACTTCCAGTGGCATTTCTTACTTTAGCCACTAAGTGAAATACAGGTCTGGCAGATTTATTTCCTTCTTTCACAACATCTACTGCAGCAAATGAATGTACTCCAGGGTTAAGAGGAAGTCTCCACAATTTGTTAAAATAATAGAAGAGGAGACAGCAGGTGCTCCTGAAAGAACACCTTAAAGTTGTGCCTCAGTGAGGAGCAGCTTGAAAACACAAGGCAACATACTGCACTATGACATGTCCCTTTCTGTTTGTTACAATTATACTATCTTCACATCCAGACTAGTACAGAAAAATGGCCTCAAACTTCTAGGGAACGTTCAAGGAAACAGGGGAGATCTTTTTAGTTTTGTTAAGATGGTATAATTTTGCCAAATTTGATAGGGTGATTTTTTTTCAAAAGATGAAACAATATATAAAAAATCCTCTCACTCTGAGTCTCTAACTGAAAGTGGTATTTTCCAGGAAAAAAAAAAAAAAAAAATTCAGTGAAAGCAACTACTACAAATCTGATCCAATTAACCAAGTGGACAGCTTCATTTAGTCTCAACTTCATTAGCATGCTCCTCACTCCCTGCCTCTGCCCCTAATCTCCTCTTAAAGTTTCTTTTCAAAACTGTGTGTGTGTGATGAGAGCAAAAGACAATCAACTAACAGAATTCTGCTACAAACTGTAAACCTTCAAAGAATCAGAACAGACTGTGAACATTAACAATTATTTCCTATCAAAAGAAAGCATAAGATACAACTTTACAGTTTATTTCCTGCTGTAATTTTACAATTAAACCACAATTGTAAAAGAGCAAGAAACTTCTGAGGTGTGATCTGCAAATCTGTTTGAAAATGCATCAAAAGTATTTCAAAATGAAATGTTCATTTCTAATAAAAATATCTATTCTCACAGCAAAGGTTTTTTTAAGGAAAATATGCCAGGAGGTTATAATGTTAACACCTTCCTTTCTCTAAGGGATAAACTACTATGAATAACAGAAAATACAAAGTTTTCTTCAAACTTAAGGAGGAATTACTACAGAGAGCTGGTTTTCACTATTATTACTTAACTACAAAATGAGAGCACTCTTTGTAGTAATGCCCAACAGTATGCAACATTTTGCTTTAAGAGTACAGAAGCCACGAGCAGACATTCAATAAAAGGAGAGAAGTTATGACTCCTACCCATGTGAAAGGTTGTATAGCCTCACGAGTAAACAGAGAAATATAAATAGAGATATTACTTGTTGCCAACTAGAATGAAAAAGCTGAAAACAAAAGCTAATACAAGGGTTAGTGAGAGCTACAGAAGAATTAACCCTCTGCTCTGAAGCTCTGATTCAGAAATCTTAGCTCAGGGAATTTATTCTAAAGAAATACTTGGACAAATGCTCAAAACATATGTCAAAGGAGCAGATTTGTTTATAACAACAAACACTGGCAAACACTTAAATGCCTATTCATAGGGAACTGGCTAAAAACAAACACAAAACTGTGGTATATCCACACAAGATAACCCCATGCAGCCATTAAACACTTTATATCATCAGAGAACAGAACATGGGTTTTTAATGTTAAAAAAAAAGATCAGGGTGCATGTACAGATGATCGCATTTATAAACTATGTTTATATGGAGACAGGTTCAACTGGTAGGGCTGATTGTCTCTGGGCAGTAGAATTTTGGGAGATTTGGCTCTCTTCTGGAGTACACTTTCCTCCATATTTGCTTTGAAATTTCTAAAAACAAACAAACAAAACCCCCCAACATGTATTACCTTTAAAAACAGAAAAATTTTCCCCAAAGAGCAGAGGCAAAAAGGTCTGGCTGGCTGATCTCCTCCACGAAGTGGGTATTGAGAAGATACTGAACAGTATCTCCACCCTAATCACCCGATGAATATACTCAAATCTTTAGAAGTCTTATATAATATTCTTTTAGGCTCATCAAAAGTTCATGGGTGAGAAGCAGTACAGAGAGACTTTATATCTCACTATTCAGTATAACCCACTGGTTTCACTATAAAATCAAATTAAACTGGAGATATGAAGAAACCAAAACAGCCCGGCCGGGTGTGGCTCAGTGGTTAAGCGTCGACCTAGGACCCAGGCGATGAGGGTTCAATTCCCGGTCAGGGCACATGCTGTGCCCGGGTTGCGGGCTGCAGCCGATTAACGACTCTTTCATCATTGGTGTTTCTGTCTCTCTCTCTCCCTCTCCTTTCCTCTCTTTGAAATCAATAAAGATATATTTGAAAAAAAAAAAAAAAAGAAAGAAACCAAAACAGTACATAACAGCAAGGTGTTTGAGTAAAGCTTCAGTCTGAGTCCTAGTTCCTCCCTTACCAGGTGGGGATAATCAATAGAGATCTCAAAGGACTTGTCTAAAGATAAAATGAAAATTAAAGTGATTACTACACACTGGACCCACAATAAGCTCTCAATAAAATTAAGTTTGCATGTGTGAAAAGAGAAAAAAACTCAAGAGATTACTATCATTATTCAGAAAATAGACCAAGAATTTTTCAAAAAAAGAGACTAAGAAAAGGCCATAAAACTCTGCTAATGAATTAGTTTTCTGTACCTGTAAAATATTCCAGGTAATTTAATATATCTTAGTTTTGGAAGATTAGAAATTTAGTAACTTTAAAAAATGGAATTTGGTACCATTTCTCCCTCAAAACTAATTTTAGTGTCACAGCCTTAAAAAGAGCATTCTCTTAAAGAACAGAAAGGTGTCTTTGGATAACCCACGTTATGTGCGTGGGAAGCTTCTGCTGTAAAATGACACTGTCTAAACAGTGCTGCCAGTCTTCAATACTTCTATAAAAACAAACGCTGCCGTGCCAAGGGTTCTCAGTGTCCGGCCAGCTATTCACGCCTGAGACGACTGGGAATCCCTGGCTATGACCAGGGCACCAGGGAACTTAGGCACACACAATCTCAAACCAGAGACAGAGGATGGGAGTGGCACAAATCACACTGGAAGTCAGAAGGACACACTCTGGTGTCAGTTATGCTTCTAAAAGGGACAACGGCAGAGGTAGAAAAGAGATGGGAATAATAACTGTTGAGAACCAATGCTTTTTTCAGTCCACTGGGTATGTTTAAAAGATTAATAAAAATCAGTTAGTCATATTTACTTATTTAATTTCACCGGTGAGGATGAAGCAGAAAAATACTACCTCGATAATCCACTCCAGAATTTAGTTTTACCACCACTGGTCGTCCAATGATTTGCTTCAAGAAGTCGCTGGGGGTTTGCTTCCGCAGACTCATTGTAACAATCCCAATCAGAAATCTGAAAAGCAACAATAAAGGTAAAGACAAAAGTTAATTATTTAACAAAAAAGCCTGAAGCCTTTAACATATTTATAAGACACCTAGTGTCAACAGAGCACATGTGAAGATTCAGTATTACT